CAGGAGTTTGCTGCTGTGTCCTTAGGGAGGACACATTTCTAGCTTAGGATAATTTTTAGATTCTGTTCTGGGTTTTATGTTTTATTTAATTTTTATATCATAGTATTTTATTTATATTTATAATTTTATAAAATGTATCTTCATAATTTTAATTTTTTATATTTTTTATTTTAATTTGATGTTCTATTTTAACTTTATGTTCTATTCTAATTTTTACATTTTAATTTTCTACTTATATTTTTATAAAATAGTTATTTTTATATTTATAATTTTAATTTTTATATTTTAAATTTTATATTATATTTTATTTTTTATTTTATTTAAATTTTATATTCTATTTTTATATTTTATTTCAATTTTTATATTACTTTTTTTCTATTATATTTCGATTTTTACATTCCATTTTTTTATATATTATATTTCAACTTGTACATTCCATTTTTTAACATATTTTATTTCAATTTTTCCATTCCATTTTTTATATTATATTTCAGTTACTCCATTTTTTCATATTTTATTTCAATTTTTACATTCCATTTTTTATATTTTATTTCAGTTATATTCAATTTTTTATATATTTTATTTCAATTTTTATATTCCACTTTTTTATATATTATACTTCAATTTTTACATTCCGTTTTTATATTTTATTTCAATTTTTATATTCTATTTTTTCTATTTGATTTCAGTTATTATATTCCAATTTTTGACATTTGATTTCAATTTTTGCATTCTGTTTTTCCGTTTCATTTCAATTTTTACATTCCATTTTTATATTTTATTTCAATTTTTATATTCTATTTTTTCTATTTGATTTCAGTTATTATATTCCAGTTTTTTATATTTTATTTCAATTTTTACATTCTGTTTTTACGTTTTATTTCAATTTTTATATTCCATTTTTTTAAATATTTGAATTTTTACATTTTATATTAATTTGTATTTTCTCTCTCCCTCTCTCTCTCTCCCTTTCCCCCTCAGTTCTCTCAGCCTCCAGTGACAAGAGGCTCTACATGGGGGAGATCCAGTGAGGGATCCTCAGCTCCCGGAGGGGAGGTGACAGCAGCAGGGTGTGACAGCTGTCCCTGCTGTCCCCTCCCCTCCCTCTGCAGCCTTTCCACCTCCCCTTTCTCCGGGGACACTTGGGATTTTGTTTTGGCTGTGCCACTGATCGTGAAACCCTTCAAACTGAGCATTTTTGTTCCTTTCCCTGTCCTGTTTCTCCTGGGGTGTTTTTGATACTGTTAAAGCTGCCATAAATGGATTTTTACACAGCCTGGGGATTCTTCTGTCTCTGTTAAACCCAGCTCCTCACCTCTGGGTGACGGGGAAATGGGCAGGGTTAAACTCAGGGAGGGCTTTGGGTGGGGAGGGATCCTAAATCCCTAAAGCCAGGGCCACCCAGCCATGGCAGGGACACCTCCCAATGTCCCCGGGTCACCTCCCAATGTCCCCAGGGTCACCTCCCAGTGTCCCAGGGACACCCCCACTGTCCCCAGGGACACCTCCCAATGTCCTCAGGGTCACCCCCACTGTCCCAGGGTCACCTCCCACTGTCCCCAGGGTCACCCCCACTGTCCCAGGGTCACCCCTGCTGTCCCCAGGGTCACCCCCACTGTCCCAGGGTCACTCCCAGGGACACCCCCACTGTCCCCAGGGTCACTCCCACTGTCCCAGGGTCACCCCCACTGTGTCCCCACTGTCCCTGGGGTGTCCCTGGGATGTCCCTCTATCCCTGGGGTGTCCCAAGGGTGTCCCCATTGTCCTAGGGGTGTCCCCACTGTCCCAGGGGTGTCCCTGGGGTGTCCCTCTGTCCCTGCCCTCGGTTCCAGGCAGATCCATGTGCGGATCCCCACGGAAGGGCAGCTCCAAGCAGCCAAAGGGGTCCCTGGAGAGGAGCAGGCAGGGCTGGGGGCGCGGCAGGTTTATCTGTAAATATCCCTGACACAACCCTGGGCACACCAGAGCGGGATCCTCCTGCCCAGGCCTGAGCCCCCTCCCCTGTCCACACAGATTCAGGGTTTAATTGGGGCCTGTCACAATCCCGAGGGTTTGTGGGTTTGTTTGGATCTACACCCAAGTGTCAGAGGGGAGAGAGACCCTTGGGGCTGGTCTGGGACAGCAACCCTGAGCTTTACTGAGTCCTGCTTCTCTAAAGGAACCAAAAAAGGGATTTTTTCCTAATTCCCAGCCCAGGAACCAGCAGGGAAGTGAGGGAAGGGCATCATTCTTCCCTGCCCTGAGTTCTGGGGCTGCCAGGATGGGGCAGTGGGGGCTGGCTGGACCCACAGCCACCCTGGGGTGCCTGGGTGTCACCCCCTGTGCCCCAAACACCCTCCATGGGCACCACGGAGCCGTGACCCAGATCAGGGAAATGATCTGGATTAAGGGAAAATCCCTGGATGAGGGAGCAGGGGGATGGACAGAGCTGGAGCAGGATGGACAGAGCCAGGACAGGATGGACAGAGCTGGAGCAGGATGGACAGAGCCAGGCCAGGATGGACAGAGCCAGGCCAGGATGGACAGAGCCAGGCCAGGATGGACAGAGCTGGCCCAGGATGGACAGAGCTGGCCCAGGATGGACAGAGCTGGCCCAGGATGGACAGAGCTGGACCAGGATGGACAGAGCCAGGCCAGGATGGACAGAGTTGGTCCAGGATGGACAGAGCCCGGCCAGGATGGACAGAGCCAGGCCAGGATGGACAGAGCTGGCCCAGGATGGACAGAGCTGGACCAGGATGGACAGAGCCCTCTGCTCCCACTGGTTCCCAGCAGCACCCAGGGGGATTTGGGCCAGTCCCTCTCTGTTCCCACTGGTCCCAGATGCACCCAGAGCAGCCCAGGCCTCTCCTGGCTCCCATCCCTGGCCATGGCAGCAGCAAAGCGTTCAAAGCTTCATCTGAGTGTGGAGAAAATTGTTCCTTTAAACAGATTTATTCCTCGGAGGGAGGTATTTGCTTGGGAGATTTCCACTGGAAATTAAATCTTTCCTGGGATCCGGATAAACAGCCTGGTTCCATGGAGCTGTGCTGGGGGAGCTGATCCTGCAGTGGGGACTGAGGGCTGGAGGTGACCCCATCCCTGTCCTCATCCCTGTCCTCATCCCTGTCCTCATCCCTGTCCCATCCCTGTCCCCATCCCTGTCTTCATCCCTGTCTTCATCCCTGTCCCCATCCCTGTCCTCATCCCGGTCCCCATCCCCGTCCCTGTCCCATCCCCATCCCTGTCCCATCCCTGTCCCATCCCTGTCCCATCCCTGTCCCTGTCCCATCCCTGTCCCTGTCCCTCTGTCCCTATCCCTGTTCCTGTCCCTGTTCCCATCCCTTTGGCAGTGCCAGCATCCCCAGGAGATCCCGGCTGGAGGGGGAGGCAGCATCCAGAGCTCCCGGGATGGGTCCAGCCCCTGCTCTGGGGACACCGGGGACATCCTGCCACCCCTCTCCATCCCTGCCTGTCCTTCCTGCAGCTTTGCCCCTCCTGCTCCCACTGCTGCTCCCCAGTGAATCCCCAGAGTTCCGAGGAGCAGCTGATGATTTCTGAAAGAATGGCAAACAATTATTTGCTCTGTTGGGGAATAGATGCTGTTTAGTCTCCGTTTAATGGAAAGCTAATTAAATTACATGAGCAAGTGAATAGAAATTTTTTTTTTGTTAATTATGGATTTTGCCAGCTCCAAAGGCAAAATGCTGATGGATCCTGGGATGTGCTGCCCTTCTCCCCAGCACAGATGACGACAGAGAAGGAACGGTGGGAACTCATTTTAATTCCTCCGTCGATTCTCCAACAGCCGCCCGAGCCCGATCCGTTACCTGATCCAGGAGCTGCTGGTGACTGGCAGCTGGGGGCTAATTGTGTTCAAATTAGGGAAGGGATGGTGAAACAAATGTGTGTTTCTTCCTGGGGAACTCACAGAATCACGGAATCCCAGACTGGTTTGGTTGTAGGGACATAAAGCTCATCCCATTCCGCCCCTGCCGTGGGAAGAGACACATTCCACTATCCCAGGGTGCTCCCAGTCCTGCCCAGCCTGGGACTGGGCTGGAGCTGAGCCCAGGGATGGTCTGGGACATCCCTGGAGCCAGGCCTGGAGCAGCCTTGACCCCAGGGATGGGGAATTTATGGCCCTGGGGATGGAGCATTCCTGATCTCGGGTCTGGGACCTCCCTGGAGCCTGGCCTGGAGCAGCCTTGACCCCACAGCCAGGGCCTCTGTGACCCCAGGGATGGAGCATTCCTGATCCTGGGTCTGGGACATCCCTGGAGTCAGGGCTGGAGCACTGTTGACCCCAGGACTGAAATGTCCTTAATGCCAAGTCTAGGACATCCCTGGTATCTGGGGCTGGAACATCACAGACCCCAGGGCTGGAGTGTCACTGACCCCAGGGCTGGAGTGTCACTGACCCCAGGGCTGGGGTGTCACTGACCCCAGGGCTGGGGTGTCACTGACCCCAGGGCTGGCCCCTCCCTGGCCCTGGGACTGATGTCCCTGTCCCCAGGCTGCTCCAGCCCTGCCCAAATAGACAAAAACCCGACTTTGTGGTGTAAAAATACCAGTTCAGTGAAGAAAGCTGATTTCTCTGTGCTCTGTTTACACCCCTGGCAGGGAGAGCTCTCTCTGGCATAAAGATACAGATGGTTTTTGACTCAAAACATTCGGGTTTAGTGGAAGGAGAGGGTTTTGTGTACCTGGGGACGAGATCCCATCTGGCTCCTCCTGCCCTGGGCACGGAGAGCTCGGCCAGGTCGGATCCAGCCCTGCCAGAGCCAGAGGGCCGTGGGGGACACCCCTGTCACCCCAGCTTGGGATGTGGGCTGGCAGAGGAGGCTCAGCCTTGATGGGGGGCGTTCCTCCCCCTTCTCCATCCCACAGGAGATTTGGGACGAGGCTCTGACCTCGCCAGGGCTGTTGGGGAAACTGAGGCACAACAGGGCTAGGTGGGGGCACAGCTGGGGATCAAAGCACGGCTCCCATTTCCCATCCTCCCAATTAATTACTTGACACTTTTTGGATTTCCTCCCGGTATTTTTCTCTGCAGTTTTGGCCGCTGGGGCTTTTCACTGCACACAGACCCCAGGCTGGTTCTGAGCAGAGCAGAGGACAAAGCCCTGGGCTCATTTCCCACCCTCTCCCGGATGAAGTTATCTCCTCTCCTTCCAGGGAAGCTCCATGACAGGCTTTATTGACCTTTTTTTAATCTAAAATTGATTCTTTGCGGAACTCCACCTGCTCGGGAGCCAGGCGGGATCTCGGCGCCGTCGGATGGGGATTTCTGATTTTCCATCAGAGCCTTTCCCTGCTGCTCTGGGGGCTGCAGGAGCGTGGAGCTGGGCCTGGCCATGGCCAAGGAGATGCTGTGGGATGCTTTGGTCCTTATCACGCAGGGAGATCCCAATCCCTCCGCTCCGGGTTTCTGCTGTGTTCAAATCCCAGAGGAGCCCAAAAGCTGAACCCTGGAGTTGTGCCTGTACCTGGACAACCCTCACGAGCCCGGGACACAATGGGATGGAGGTGATGGAACCTCTCCCAGGTGAAATCCTGGGGATCCCGGAGCCGGGAGAGCTGGGAGGGCTGGAGCCCACGGCGGGGGTGTCCCAGCTCAGGGATCCTCGGCAGCCCTCTGGGGGAATGCTCAGGGCTGGCGGAGCTCCCGCAGCCGGGCCGGGGTGGAATAAACAGAGGTGGCCTCAAACACCACATCTCAGTGTGCTCCTGCTCCCAGGAGCGCGGCTCAGAGCGTCCCCGAGGAGCTGCATCTCCACGCTCTGTGCTTCTGCAAAGCCCCGTCCTTCAGCCGCTCATGAGCTCCCCAAACGCCCCTGGGAGCCCGGAACAGCCCGGGGGGGAGAGAAATCCCCATCGCGGGGGAGGAAGGGGAAGCTCAGGCTACGGAAGGTGCTGCAGGCTGGTCCCAGCAGCGCGCAGGGATGAGCCCTGGCAAGCCTGGATGAGCTTGGACCACACACGGAAACGCAGCTTCGTGTCTCGGGCGCCGTGCGGATGCTCTGACACCTAAGGCTGTGTGGGGCTGCTTTAGGAGGCGCTTCCTTCTGAACATCGGCGCTGAGGATTAAGAAATCATGGAAATTAAAAGCAGCAAACTGTTTCCAAGTGCTTCTGCCGGGTGGCATTTCAGCCAGAGGTTCCTAAAGCGCTGGGAAAGCAGCATCCCGGTGATTCCTGTCGCTCTGCGATGTCCCCGAAGGTGTGCAGTGAAAACAGAACAAAGGCGAGCGGGTGGGTGGCGGTGAGGGGCCGTGGCAGCCCTGTGTGCACCCAGCTCCCTGCCCGGGC